ATTAGCCATCAAGTTCTGCTATCAATCAAGTGATACTCATAAAGCCTCACGAGTGGTTTCAGCTGATTTGTAATGGCCACATGGAAATAAGAAAGACCACTCTTCTGTGAAAAGTTTTGAATCTCAAGCCAAGCATTTTGACAGTTGATTCAATTGAAAAACAACAATTTGATGTAATTAATCCTGCCAGTGTATCAGGCCTATAAAGAAGGTGAAACAAGTGAAACAGCAATAACCCTTTGTAACTTCAGATTTCCTTTTCATAGAAGCCAGATGAGGTGAGCAAAGTGCACGTTCTCTGGGTCCGGAGGCATATGCATAAAGGAAAGGAGGGCAGCTCGCTATTGTTTGACGTCTATTCCAGGTGAAACAAAAATGGACTTAATTAATGCCTATCTCCAAGAGCTGTTGCCCTCTCCAAGTTTTAAAATTGATTAACAGCATTCTGGGGAACTGAAACAAAATTGAAGCTAATTTTACACACAAACATCTGTTGGCTGATGCTAATATCTCTGGGCTCCTCCTTTGGCAGCTTATTTTACTGAATAAATAAAGGCATTCTGGGAAGCAGTAGACATCGAAGTGCTTTAACATATCAAGCAACAGCCCTCTACTTCAATAGAACCTCCCGATTTTGACCTCTGAATTGATATTGTAAGGTAAAAGAACACCGTAGAAAATCTTGACCTTGTTCTAATGATAACTTTACACTTACAGGCTTTACACAGCACGGTTATTTTTATCTCTGTCCGTTCCAAGCAGAAACAGGTGAAAAACGCACTGTTTTCAGTTGTAGTCTCTGTCTTCATCCCAAGCTTTGTCAATACTACTAAATCAACATATATTATTAATTATATTCAAAGCAGACACCTACTGAACATGGTTTTGTACAGGGTTAGAAACATCAATATTGGCTTTGTCCTTTACCCTGATTTGAATTTGAAATGCACATTTAATTCTATTTTACACCTATATATAAGTCTGATGATTGCACAGTCCATTTTATGTGGACTACTCAAATATATTGTTCGTTAAATTAAAAACGTTGTGCTAAGGCTGGGTAATTTTACTGTATGAATTCATAAAGAGCAAATGTGTAACGGCAAATAATAAATTGGGCTATGTGAGCCCACTATTGTTCACATGCTGCCCCAAGACAAACCTCAAACCATGCAACCTGTCTAGTGTCACTGCCTTCTATTGTACGCATCATGAAGTCAAAAGTATGGCTATACTTCATGGCATTTTGATCAAGCGCAATGGCAAAAATACAACCTTCAGTCTCTGCTTACAGGTGTGTGGGTTTGTTGCAGAGAGCTACTCTATGCTACAGAGGAGAAAAAAATATGCATCAATTAATCAAAGGCAGAGATTCATAAAGTCTGTGTGACATCTTGTTTGATCCAAATCCCTGGACCTACAGTGCATATATTCGACTGCTACCTCATGTACTTAAAGGGCTAGCTTGAATATCAGATGTGGCCAAATTGCTCTAATCGGACAGTTGCCAAACAACACAATTACCTCTCAAGAGACCAAAGGGTTTTAGACGAGGGCAGAATGCCAGCTCAGATTATTTTTTGAGTATTGTGAATCAAAATTTCACTTTTTGACAGGGTGAAATTTAACAGCATTAAGCTGAATTCAAGCTGGTTCAGCCTAGTTTATCCTATCATTACCTAAACTTTTACTGGTCTGCCCTTAATGCAGACGCATGTGTATGATATGTGAGTACTTAACAATAACAGAAAGGCTCTGTCCTTGTCATTAATCAGAAAGAAAAAAAGAAATGCTACAAACACCAGCTCTCAGCACCAGTGTAGAAACAGCGAATCCCTGGACCCAAAACATTTTCTTTTACACTATTCACTCCATTTTTCAAAGGGAAAGATGTAGCAACTGACAACAACTAGTGGAAACTTGTTTTTATATTATTCTGAAAATAACATGGAGGAGAAAATTGTTTCCCCCATGCCCCCCAGTGGTTACCCCTGAGGCTGAAAATGAGCGTTAGAAAGCCTTTGACCCAAGGCTAACACATTTTCATTCAATCTAGGCAGTCAACTCCGAGCGAGCTCCCAACAACAACATACAAAAAGACACTCTATATAGAAGTGGCAAACACAGAGATCCAAAAATTGAGGAAAAAGGAATGAAAATGAACAGATATTGTCAGATGCTCCTGTCATTTGTTGACCCCTTGTAGATAGACATAAATACAGAAGATAAATATAAAGATAGATAAAGTGATAGACAGACAGACAGATAAACACAGATAGATAGATAGATAGAATAGATAGATAGATAAGTACCGATAGATATAGGGGAAAAATTTTAAAGGGAAAAAAAAAAAAAAAAAATAGATACCGGATAGATAGAAAGATAGATAGATAGATAGAAGTCCAAACTATTCTCCTATACATATTTTCAAATCTCTCTTTTTGGTCCATAATTACAGTTTAAAATATTTGACTGCATTTCTCTCTAATGAGAGCAATAAAAAACCTTTTCTTTCACAATGCTGGGAGCCAGCAATGATCTTTTTTGCTGGAAGACTAATCATCTCTGTGTGATTAGGAGCTGAAGGTTAATGTGGGCTCACGCAGATGGGAGAGGGAGCGAGGTGGGAGTGAGGGAGATCAGACCAGACTATGTTCTAGAAAGGCGCAGGCGGGCGGCGTTGTAGAGGCACAGGGGGGCTATAAGTGGTTAAGAGTCTGTGGATCAAGGGGAGGAGAGGCCTGAGCCTCATTACACATGTAAATGCAGCTTCCAGCATGGAGGCCCCACTTTAAAGCCTTGCTTTTTTAATTATTCCTTTGCTCTGCACATGATAATTGGGTCTAACTCAGCCCAGGGCCTGTTGACTATGTAACAAGAATAAAACACCCTAATGACTTTGTCCATTTTTAATGGTGATAAGTGAAAAAACCTGGCCACCTATTGGATTGAAAATAACCATGGTATTGCCTTTTGTCTTGAATTTTCAGACTCCTGCTGCTTGATTTGTTCTGTGTAATTATGCCTATAAAAATCACCTGTTTGTCGTTCAGGAATTTATGTTAATCTATGCTAACTGCTGTATCACATTCTCTGTGAGATGGTTTAACAAACCACAAGTAGAACTATATTTCTCTGTCTGTAACTTTTGTAACAATGGAAAGCGTTGATGATGTCTTTCATGACAGACTTGTTGAATGGCATGCACAAAACTTTTTTTTTCATACTAATTTTTCCATTCAAATGTAAGTTCCCCAAATCCATTCCTATTTAGAGTAAAGAGCCACATTGCTGACAGACAGAAATCCAATATTAAAATCTGTGAAATAATAATCCTGTTGAGTTTTAACCTGCATCCAGCATGAAAAAAAGATGAAATAAAGATATTCAGTTGAAAAATGTTTGTTCCTGCCTCTCTTTCACACACTCTTTAGAAAATTGCTGCTTTGACCAAAGGTTGAGTTTTAAATTGCCTTTCGTATGGAGTGTTAGATAGATAATAGTCTGCAATTGAAGAAGATTCAAACCAGATTTATATAATAATGCATTTATGGAAAGACAAGATAGGCTGGTGAGTATAAGTTGAGAAAAAAATCAATAAAGATGTGAATTTTGTGATAAAATATTCTAATGCCAAGGTTCATTTACTGGCTTTTTTCTAAGGCTTTTGACCATTAAACTAGGACATTCTTTAGTGAATGTAACTTAGCTCAGGTTTTAGCATGTGTCATAGGAGGGATATATGACCACCTTTGATAATGTGACCAAAATTATGTAGGTCACATGATGAGATCCAAGCAACTTCCTTTTGCTGAAGAATGCCTTACGATAAGGTCAATAGTTCTGGAAAAAGCTAGTATTATTTATTTATTATTATTAGTGTTAAAAAGGCTCACGCTCCATTTTAATGGTTTCATTTGTTGCACACTGTTGACATATTTGACTCTTCAGTCTTTCCAAATATCCTTCACTTCTCTCCACATATATTATTGTAGACGAGTGTTTTGCAATATATCACATATGATAGAATGGCTGTACCATGATCCCCCATGATGCATGTAAAACCTACAGGAAACTTAATGTTGATGTTTAAATCAAGAATAATGCAGATGGAAGGAAGATACCACACATTTGGTATTATTAGCTTTTTCTAATACCCATACCTGCTATGAGGGAAGTAGAAAAAGCTACTAATTTAAAGACAAGCCAGGAAACGTGCTGCTATCTGTGACTCACCGATTATTCTAAATCAACTGAGCACAAAAAAAAGGGATACTGGTTCTCAGTATCAGACACCATCAGTGACTTTGATCCACACAATTCTTCTTTCTAACAATATTTTCAGTCAGAATAGATAACTTTGTTGAGAGAGAGAAAGAGACCAGTGGAAATTAAGAATATTAAAATTTGTTTACAACATTGATATTTATTGTTCACTGTGTGCTTGTACTTTAATGATACTTCACCAATGTGTGAATTTATTTGAATTGGGCTCTGTACTAGTTATGTATTTTGTGTTAATTGTTTAATGTGTGAGTTGCTTGTTCAAATAGATCTACTTCTCCCTACAGTATTATTGTGATTAATGTGTGCAATGCAAGACAACATCATTGATGTTCCAATATACTACCCACAGCTGAGTACACTTCAGCTCACTTCACATTAATAATTAGCTTTTAGTTTGTACACTAATAAATGTGTTGTGTTCAATATTGTGTGGGCTGTGCACTGTTTTTGGTGCTGCCTTTTAAACTGAATTACTAACAGGTAATACGGTTCTTTGTGGCATTGATAAAAAAAAAGTTTTATGAGCTTTAGTACAACACTGTTTTCTACTCCTGCCTTCATTATCATCAGCACTAATGAAATGGAGGCTCAATCTGTGAAGCTACAGTAATTTAAGCATAACACGCATATTTAACTTGTTCCTCAGCAAACAGAAATGATGAATTTCTTTTTTTTTCATTTTGACTCTGTAAATATACAGATTAAAAACTTACCTGGCCTGGTTTGGCATCTTCACATACTGAGGCTTCGTATGGTGTTGCCAGTTCAGGAGGATTGTCATTTACATCCAGAATCCGAATACTAACTTCTGAGTGGGAAGCCATGGTGTGGTTATCTGCAAAAGAGATGGAAAGAATACATTTGAACAATATCTGTGTAGACCCACAATAGTGTAAAAAGCTATGGAAATTATGTTTAGTTTTGAGACTGCAACACATAACACCAGGGCTTGGCAACTGAATGACTGAGGTTCTGATCCTGGTTGGAGGGCTAAAAAACTATGGACAGTCATAGTTTTCAGTCGTCTTAACTTTATTAATTAGCCCCAAAATGTATTTTTTCCCCAGGATTGGCAGAGTCATGACCAGCCCTACTCTGACCGATTGGCTTAGCCCTGATATCCCTACCCTAACCAACCAAAACCAACAAAAGCAATGAATACTACCCAATCAGTCAGAGTAGAGTGGGTCATATGCACTGGGCTGCCACTGGGAACTGGCAACGGCTGTTTTAGAGCGAAGAAGAAGAGTTGATTTCTGGTACTGTAACGTTAGCTAGAGCTAGGGAAATGTCAGAAATTACAAAAGGTTTAACCTGAGCCAAGCTATGCAACAAAGATAGCAATCATACTGATACTGTACAGCTGTTAGAAAATACAATTTTTTTAACACGCAAGTATGCAAAGTTCAGGTATCGGAGTCAGTATAGGGAAGGAAAAAATGGTATCTGACTATCTCTAGTCATAGATTTTCATTTACTTTATTCAAAAATACTACACAGACTGCACAATAAAGCTTTTCACTTTAACTTTATGCATATAACTGTAATACAAAACATATTTTTACATTTAAGATCCCTCCATTTGTGTGTGTAACTACAGGGATTGCGTATTGGGCTGTGAATGCTGCAAAAATGCAACTGACCACCGAAAAGTCCTTTTGCTGAACAGATCCAGTGTAGACATTAACAGAGGACTGCAGATTATGCTGCCATGCTGCCATAAGAGGCTGGGGTGAGATTCTTTATACTCTTCATGTCTGTCTTCAGTATGAGTAAGACAAGACTCAGAGACTCAGATAGATGCAATTTTCCACAAGGAAGCATTCAGTTGGTTTGGCATTGTGGCTAAGTGCTACAGGGTTTTAATCTAATGCCTCCACAAATTGCACCCATTACCTGAATAACACTTGCACTAGCACTGGTGAGTGACGTGAAAATGGTACCAAAGATTCCATTTTTGTCTCTAGGTCCTCACTATCTGATAATGACACTACAGTTTTTAGCTGTTTAATAGTCTGAGTGCAAGAGGCACACCTCAGCACAATGATAATGACAAATTAATGCTTTTGACAAAACTATAAATGTACTGTGGTGTAGTAATTTTATTTCAAATGCTATTTTCAACTAAATATATATAACACTACAATGCACTCTCAAGACATTTTTCTTAATAGGCCAGAATGTAAACGTGGGAGTGGAGAAGATTATGTAATTAGCACAATCAAAACCTACTTCAAATTAGCTCGACTTCTCCTTGAATCTTAATTCCCATTCTTAATCATATGATAATGTCTGATGGAGTTTCCATTTTACTCATAAAACACTATGTACTGTACAGAAGGGAGCTGGAGGCCCTTAGCGTGTGAGTGTGTGTGTGTGTGTGTGTGTGTTTGAGTTGAAGAGAGAGAACATTTTCTCTGTGCTAAATGAGTGATTTGGTTGCTTCAAGTGTTGGTCTGGATATCCTGGTTAATTAGAGTACATAGCTTATGAATAAATCAGTATACGCAGCTGTCACCACCCAGTTCATGCACCCTACACAAAATGCAACAACATGCAGTTACTGACAATAACCCAATTGTTCAGAAAACACACACAAATCCTTGCAGTAAAAAGAACTCCACTGGATGAATTTAAATTGATTCAATTATGTAAATGTAGCAGAGAATTAAGTGAAATTGAGTGATTTCTCTTAAGTATAAGTACCTTCGCATTGTGAAATTACTGATGCATGTATATGTAAACATTTAATTATCACTGTTAAGTGATCTAGGTTAGCATTTGCAATTGTAATGAATAGTTAGTTATTAGTAGTAGTTATCAGTAGCAGTAACCTAAAAAGCAAGAAATGTGAATGTATATAAATAATCTGGAAAATAAAGACCCATACACTTTTCTGTCAGGTGGAAGTACTCTGAGCTACCAGGGGAAATGAGGTGCAAACTTAACTGAAGCCACGTGGCTGATTGTTTTGTTTTGTTTTTGTTTTTTTTCGCAGTTTTTATAGTTTTGTTCGCTCTTCATTCGTAAAATATGCTGCTGTGGTGTACTTTGTCCATGTTTGTGATTGATCATATGCTCCGCCATACGCCTTGCTTTAATGTAAACACGCTCATAGCTGGAAACCCTGCATTGACTTACCAAGTTAACACCCACTATTGCAAGATCACAGATATTAAGGTTAGTGAAGGCAGATAAAAGATATCATGGGTATGTTAAACTTGCATATTCACTGTAGTATTCATAATACAGGCTTCTGGTCTTCTAAGGACTCTGGGAGACTGGACTGAGGACCCTCAACTTCTCTCAACAAAGTCAGTCTTTTATTCATAAGTAGTTTGGGTCTCAATTGTCTCATTTCCAATAATTTGTGTCTTCACAGACATTTTTTAAATTATCGTTCCATAAAGAAGACATTTAGGCTTAAAGAGTGACATATTTGGACGCGTGTTTGCATAAAAAGATAAATCTCTCCCAAACTCAGCTGTGGTAATTGCTACTTGTGTCAAGGGGTAAACTCAGAGGCACTGTGTCTATGATTTTCTTCTGACTATGAGCAAGACAGATGACAGAATGGTGACAGCTAACATACAGGTGATCCACAGGCTGGATAGAAGAACAACAAAAGACAGTTTTATCAAAGACAGTCAGGCAAACTAATAATCAATAGACTTTTTCAGACAAATTTGCAAGCTCTCTATCTCACCACACAGTTCTGCCCAACAGTGGCACAGCTGCTAATGAGAATGCTGGTCTCAACTAATAGCATAATCCTCACATCAATGCAGGGTTTTAATTGACTGCTTTTTGCCAGAGCAGCAAGAACATAAATGCACATAGAGCTCCACCAGTGCTAGATATCTCCTCTCTTCTTCTTCTTCTAATTTCGTCTTCACATTATGCTGCTGTCCCCGCTGTGCCAGAATGAAAACCAGCAATCATCAGATGTTACACATTTTACATTTCAATTCCCAGAATTGAAAACAGATGAAACAATGTGAGAATGCCCCGCCTCCACCCACCCCAAACTCCCTCCATGGGGAAAAATAGTTATTCAGTGAGACAGGTTCATTCATCTGGACCAAGTGGTGCTGTTCTAAATCTGTCTGCAGATAGGGAAGAAGAATAAAAGGATTTCAACAGATTATTGGCATGCTCTGCATCTGTGCGGCACTCACCAGCTGCTGCGAATCTTTCAGAACGACTGTATAGTAGATCTCTCAGGCACTGGATTATACTGACTTCAGGGAAGACAGATAGAGGATGTGAGTGTGCGTGTGCATGTCTTTGCATACGTGTGTGTGGGTGTGTGTCAGGAGTGTCAAGCTCCTTGTGACCAAATGGTTCATCTTCTTTGCTGGAGGAAACAGTTTGGTTTAAAATGTCACTTTTGTCAGGAGGGGAAACAAGGATACAAATGTACTCAACAGCGTCTGCTCCTGGTCTCTTTATTGAGCCAGAGGCTCAGCCATGTAGGCACAGAGGCAGAAGTATTACAGCCATTTTTCTTTAGTTGCATAGTTTCAATATTACACACACTCACCATATTCATCCAAAATCTCTTTACAACAGTTTAAGCTACTGTGTGTTTAAGAACTAACAGCTGTAAACACATCCCATGTAAATTAAACAAAACATTTCAAGGCCATCCGAACACAATGAATAATTGAAATTATTCACTAAAATTGCAAAATTTTATGGCACATGCCCAAAGCAAAATAAACATTTCACAAATACTCCTCATCAAAGACAAATGTTTTCACAAAAGCTAACAGATCCCACTGCTGATTCCCATATGCAGCGATAGCCACTCATTTCCATTACAATATTCAGCGCGAGGAAAATAATTTTCACAACTATCAAGTTTAAACAGGTTTAGCAACTGGGAATACACACATCTGAAACACCAAGGAGAATCACAACATGCTTCTAAATGCATATGTTTTCTCTCTGCGCTGTGCCGGCTGCTTTATATAATTAATACATAAATAAATAAAAACTTTCTAGGATAAAATGAATACAAACATCAATCTCGCATATATATATTAAAAAATCTAATCTAATCACCAACTGAGCACAGATAACTTGTCCTACTCATGTTAACTTATATAATACACAATACAACATCATGGAGACAGCTTGACGTGTAAACACTATATGAAAAATATTAATTGATGCTTCATAAATATCAAAAAGCTGATTATTGTATGAAAAAATAACTACCAGCATTGACATTCATTCTTTGCAAGGAAAATGTTTCTCTAAACAAACTATATCCAGATTTATCTTCTTTGGGAAGGAAGTTTTGTCTCAGTGCTGGATGTTTAGAATCACCATAATCATAAAACAATGCATGGAACAATGTGTTACAAGGAGAGATAGGGTACATTTTAGAAAGTGTTTTTGACTACCCTGGCAGAAACACTTAATATCTTAAGTGGGGTGCTTTTATGTTCGCTGATGTCAAGCCATGTCACACCAGATTGTTTTGTCAATATCATTATTATAGAACTGGGTAATGCTGCCTGAGTTGCCCTTTCCAGGAATGAAATCTTCAAAATCCTGTGTTTGTTTGAAAATGGAGAAATAATCTGGTAGGGATCATAACCTAGTAGTGTTTCTGCCAATACACCTCTGCTGGTGACTGAAAACTGTGAAGGGGCTCCATCACCAGTCGATATGGTACTTTTTTGGTCTTGGCAACGAGGTGCAATCCCAGTTTAGAAAACTCTTCGAATGCTTTCCTGTGAAAATATTTCACATCCCTCGAGAATTAGATGCTATTCTGATTTCCCACTGACTCCACTTCTTCACTAACTGAAACCTGGCTGCTGATGCAGGCATTCGCTGCATTATCGTTAGATTCTGAAAAATGTTCAATCATTCTTTGCCAACACTGCTTTCATCAAGTCAATGGTGTTATTGGAAATAATCTGAATGAGGAATCTATCAAATTTTATTGAAACCCATGTATTTGTCATGAATTTGACTAGCTTAAA